ACCTCCAATAAAGCCTTACACGTGGGTGTTTGTGTTCCGGCTCATTCCATTTCACAAACAGAATTCAAATGTAGCTTTCTATTACGTGACAAGCATATAGTAGACAATTAAGCCAACTCAATCCACTGCCATCAAGTCAATTCTAACCCATAGCAACCCTATATATAGGACAGGGTAGAACTGCTCCCTAGGGTTTATGAAGCTGTAAATCATCACAAGAGCAATCTCATCTTTGCCCTCAGAGCAGCTAGTGTATTTGCATGGCCGACCTTGTAGTTAGTAGCCAAACACTTAACCCACTGCACCAACAGAGCTCCTTAGGCAATTGTTGTTAAGTGCCGTAGAGTCAATTTCGACCCATAGCGATCCTGTACAAGGTTTCCGAGGAGCAGCAGGTGAGCTTGAACCATGGACCTTGCAGTTCAAACAGCTTTGCAGTCTGGAGCATTAACCCATATAGTGCCACAGCAGGGGGAAAAGAAACCTCAAATTTATTATACTGACCTTATCACAGGAGATGTTTATTCTCATATACACACTGGAGACAGAAAAACAATAAAATTGATCAAACTGCTGGGGATGGAGACTGGAGTGGGCTATATGGTCCTGTGAACATCTCACTGTCCACTCATATTACAGAATGTAGGAAAGTGTTCTTAGTGCTGGTGTGAAACTTTAGGATAAGCACTGAACTGCTAACCAAAAGATCAGTGGCTATGAGATTGAACCAACTCAAAGGCATTTAACAATAACAGCAATACCAGCAAATTGGGACAATCTGAGATTCACAATGCAAAATGAAATCCCTAATCTTGTGAGCCCTGCCATACAAAAGAATAGAGTTTCCCTTAAAAACCTGACCTCTAGGATTTTTTTTTTTTTTGAATAACAATAGCCACTGGGAGACTGGAATGTGTTTACTCAGCACATCACTCTGGCAACATCTTAAAACTTTTCAAAATCCCCCCTCAAACACAGATCCTGCTGAGGAATCCTCTGGCCAGGGCCTGAGCCTCTTTTCTCAATAAGAGTGTCTCTGATTGGCAAGCAAAGTTTAGTATAGGCTCCAATGGGCCTGATCATGTCAGGCAACAAGCAAATGTTATCTTTGAGAAGTTCCACCTTTGGTCTATAGCTCTCCATTCCTTGAAAAATTGTTATGAAACAGAAATGCAAGGAAAAGAGATGGCACTGAGGAATAAGGAGCAGGAATAAGGAACATATCTTGGCAGAAGAAAAACACTTCTGATGCACTGGAGCTAAGCCCTTCTTCCACGAGAGAGGTACGCTGTCTCAAAATATTAATTATTCCTTAGAAATGTGGCCACAGCAACCAAAATAATGAACATACATAAGTATTTCACAAATTGATACCGAGGTTCCCACTGCAAGATGCCTATTTACTTTGATTTCAAAATGCATTATTGTCTACTTGCTAATAAACTAGACAGTGGAAAAAGAACTTAAATTATTCTAAGTTTATTCCTAAAAGCCCTTAAAATAGGAGCAAAGGCCTTAATCCATAAAAGCCTGTCTGAAAGAAACTCGGTGGCCGCCGTCTGCTGGTGCAGCTGGGCCCGCCTGTAAGTGCACTTGGGTTCTTAGGTTGGGAACTGAAGGACTCTAACGTTACTGCTAGCATTGCACATAAAAGCTTTGGAAATGGCATTCTTTGGTCCTCCTGCAATTCATTCTTTTTCAAAAAAGGAAATGGGAAGAAAGGTTTCATGTCCAGGCTTTTGGGCCTTTGATCATTTGATGAACACTGGATCGGCAACCTGGGCCTCAAACTTCTCAGGCCAGACAAAGACTGCCAGGCCTCACAGGCCGGGACTTGGTTCCTGCCAGAACAAAACCCCTGGCTGCCTCACAGTGTGGCGGCCTGGGAAAGGCCCACCTCAGCCAGGCGGAGATGCCTGCTCTGCCCTTTGATCTTGCATGCAGCCCTGGCCCAGGCTCCAGGTCAAGGGATTTCCCACTGCACACCATATCTACAGAGAGGAGCAGGTCAAGAGCAAAATGGGGGGTGACCAATCTTAAGAAAAACCCCATGACTCCCCTCTTTGGCCAGTTTCACATGACTGGCCTCGCATTGTTTAACACCAGGCCCACACTCGAAATGGAATTTGACATTACATGGTACAATGGAGGCAATGAATGGCTTTCTCTACCGCTCAAACAATAAAGTCATCCCTTCCTTAAGTGGCCCAAAGCCCCAAACTGGAGCATACTTTGCATTTACTTGTCTATGGAACTAACTTGCATATCCTTGAAATCCAGGTTGTATCACATCATCTGGGTGGATACCAAAATAGGCCAAAGAGTGAAAAAATGCAAGCATCTATTTCATCTACTCCCATTCCTTTCATTTATCAGGTTGAGTTTCCATTTGAAAAAGTGTGTATCAAGTAGTTTATTGTGCCACATTGCTTTACAAATATATACATGTCCGAAAAACACTGAAGTGAAAAACAATCTGTATTGTTCTGGAGGTTCAGGGGCTTAATAGAAGAAAACTATGTGCATGAGGGATGGAGAAAGAAGGGTGAATGGTAAGGGTGAAATAGAAGCCTCATTGATAAAGTCTTGCTTTAAGATCTTGAAATTTGCAAATAAGATATATCTGATGAAGCACAAGGCCATTAACAGACTAGGAAGAAACACAAGCTTCACAAAAATGAGGATTATTATTTTCTAAAACTCCTTATTTAAAGCACCATCATCATCATCAGCTCATTCTCATTTTGTCTTAGTTTCTTTTGTTTTTACATCTCTAGCTCTAAACTAATTTAGAGTTTCCAAAATAATACTTGGTGGCAGGGAAACCAATTGTAAAATTTTTTTTTTTTTTAGTGCTCTCCCTAGCAGTCAGCAACAGAAGCCTGGAGACATTAGGGGTGTATGTGTGTGTGTTTGGGGGTAGGGACATAGAACGAACACTAACTCAGCCTTTGGTTCCAATCCTATGCTAAGTAGTTGTGAAGCTTCAAATGATTGACTTAAATTCTCCAATACTGATATGTAAACTTACGGGCTATCATCATACATTTCCACATCTATACGCTAGGGTTAAAGAGGTGGTAAATTTTTTACGGGGGTGGTGGTGGGGGAGAAGAAAGTAAGAAAAATAACTGTTTTAGAATTAGTGTGAAAATGTATAGAATCTCATTTTATATCCAAGGCCTTCTCTTCTTGGTGGGCAAAGAAAGAAAAATGGCCAACTGCCCAGAATGTTTTTGAAGGTACAAGCCTATGTTTAGGTATCTATATGCGCATGCCTGTATATGTGTGTGTGTGTTGACACAGAAAGATTATTCACAGATGGCAAAGAAACCATAAAACAGCCACTCATTTCTGTGTTTCCCAAAGTCCATCCCACAGAACCCATATTAACAGATGTTACAAGAAAAACAAATTGTCTTGTCAACTAAATTTAGAAAATGCTGGGTTAAAGAAAGCTGAACAAGTTTCTGTACGGAAGGACTTTATTATGCTAATGTGCATTAAGATTTCCCAAGAGGCAGATGGAATATGAATCTTTTCTCAAACTTATTTGATGATGGAGCTCTGTCTCTCTGGCCTCTTTTTAAAAGCAATTATCTTCCATATTCGGCCTTCAGTGGACTACGTTTTGAGAATTTCCAGATTCACTCATTCCCACATTTTCATATGAAGAAGCTGGGGCCAGGAGAGGTTAAAAGCTTTGATCAAAGTGATAAAACTTGTCTGGGGCAAAACTGGAGCCAACCCATAGCTCTATCTTCTACATAATGCTCTTGCACTGTGTAGTTTTTAAAACTCAAATGATAATGTTTGATTCTAAGAAACTGTGCACTGTTTTTGAGAGGAAATAGCAGCTTTTACCTGGTGTGGCACTGTATGATAAGCACTGAACTGCTAACCACAAGGTTGGTGGTTCAAACTCACCAGGTTGCTCCTTGGAAATCCTACACAGGGTCACTGTGAGTTGAAACCAACTCGACGGCACGTAACAACAACCACATAGGTAAAGCAAGTTCTATTTTTGAGAATATCAAATAGATTCACTTACTTAACAAGCTGTTAACAACAACAAGAAAGCTGTTTATAAGGTTTATTTGGGATCATATAACTTATATCTGAAGACACTGCTGCCAGTAATGATCAGATTAGTGATGAGACTCTTGTTCTTATTGTTAAGTACTGTTGAGTCGGTTCTCATAGCGATGCTGTATAGGGTTTTTGAGGAGCAGCCGGAAGGTTTGAACTGCCAACCTTGTGGTTCACAGTCCAGTAGAAAACCTAGATAAAACCCTGTGCCCTTGAGTAGATTCCAACTCATGGCGACCTTGTAGGTCAGAGCAGATCTGCCACATAGGGTTTCCAAGGTTGTAAATGTTTACAGAAGCAGACTGCCACATAGTTCTCCCCAGTGGTGTGTGGGTTCGAACCGCTGTTTCAGTTAGCAGTCAAACATTTAACCATTGTGTCACTAGGGCCCACATGAAATATAAATTGTTGTTGTTGTTAGGTGCCACCGAGTCGGTACTGACTCATGGCTACCCTATGTACAACAGAATGAAACACTGTCTGGTCCTGGGCCAACCTCACAATTGTGGCCACACTTGAGCCCATATAAATAGTACTCTAAAAATAAAGTTTTAAATGCCAGTGATGATTTATACAAAATACACTAAGGGAATTCTAAACCAGCATGACATTTAAAAATCCAAAGGTTGTATTGTGCACAATATTAATATTCTTATCATAATTCTTTCAACAAATATTTATCAAGTACCTACTAAGTACTAAGCACAGTATGAGATGCTGGGGAGAGCCTACTAACAAAGGAGAAGCCTCAGAAATGTGTTTGCTGCAAATAACTTTAATATGATTCAGGAAAGGGACAAAAATCCTCTAATTTTTTCTGAAGGCCTTCTGTGAATATTACACCCTATGTTGCCATAGCAACGCCATCACACATCTCAGCCACAACAAAGCAGGCGGCTTTTGAATCTCACCTTTGGCCATCTTATTGAGAACCATGTCAATCAGCACGTAGGTGCCGCTTCTTCCTGCGCCATCGCTGTCAACAGAAGGAGAGAAAATGAAAATGCTTTCTACACAGGGTTAAACCAAACACACAGAACAGCTAGCAACAATCCACTTCATTCTATGCCTAAGTGGGGCCAGCAAAAGGAAAGGAAGGTTGTGAATTGGAGAGAAATAGGAAGAAGAAAGCCAGTGGGTTAGAATCACAGGGGTGAGAGGTGGTAAGTAGGAGGAAGAACGGAAGACAAGGAAAAAGAAAAACCAGAATGCTTTCATCTGTCCCGACAGCTCTTAGGGGATTAACTATTTATGCATGGCTATATTTTCTTTCTCTCTTTTTTTCCTCTTCTTTGGACAAAGATATACTGAGTTTTACCAGGAAAAAAAAAAAATGAAAGAAATGTGTGAGTACTTTATATTTGATGGCATTTCTATTTTAAATATTTGCAAGATACTTTCTATATGATTACTGGGTATCCACGGAGTAGAGGTGGCAGCCTTCTAGGAGGGGTTAGCTCTCATGGCTGGCTGGAGGCTTCCGTCTGGGCGGATGAATCACATTGTACCAACCCCTCTACTACGTGTCACTCCCTCTGGGAGGTAGAAATATGCATATCATTTGTTACTTAATCATATTCTTAAAAAAGCACTCTCATTTCATTTCTTCCTCTTCCCACCAGCTATAATTGGAGTATTTACCATCTGGACCAAAGTTGTAAAAATGTTTTGAATTGTGTTTCAACAGTAGCAAGTGGGTTAAAAAAGAAAATGGATTTTCTGGAAGAAAAGTAGTACCAGCAACATCTTTTTTTTTTTTTTTTTCAAATAAGGAGCAGTGTGTTCAATCATTTATTTTCCTCATGTAGACTGCCACTTGGTTACATAAGTTTGAGAGATCCTCTTTGAATCAAACAGGGCTTTTGTTCACATCCAAGACTGACTTTTATATGAAGAATGTTTTTACTTATACTCCTAGATAAATAAATGATGACTTTAAGAGGGGGGAAAAATCCACCTCAGGACTTCAATAATTATGTGACTACATGACAAATCACCTTGTTTTCAGTTTCTGATTTGCATGTTGGCCTATAATTCTGAGAAAACATGGGTAAGCCAATAGGCTTGATTTTTCAGAATGAAAAAAATCAGAGTTTGGATTTAACATGTTTCCTGAAATAAATGGCAAGAAAAGCTGCAATTGAGACAAACACTTCAGAACCTGTATTTTCATAATATTCATAAATCTTCAATGTGCCATGAAAGAATGAGCATCACGCACTGTCCACCATTAATCCTTACTGTTTCCTACAAAGGACTGCAGTTAACTTTTCTGTTGAGATATGGGTATTCGCTTGAATTTCTTAAGGCATGCTCAAAAAGTTTCCAATTAATAGTAGTTTTTACCTATGTTTATACATTTTATTCTACAATTGAGGCTGTCAGACTACTGTAGTGTCATCTTCCTCTCTCACAGACAGACAGACAGACACACAAACACTTGTCTGAATTGACTGACTTGGTGTTTGAACTTTAGGGACAGATTTCCTTTTGATCCAGGCTGAAAAATTTGAGTACAAGATCTTTACCAAAAGTAGTTAAGCATCAAGCCAAGTAAAAGGAGAGCCATTTGATTGAATTTTCTTTCAATGGATCTATTCCTACGGATGTGACTTTAACCTATTTGAAGATATGATCCTTTGAATTTTCATCCAAAGGTCTAGATTTACATAAGTAATGAGGTGGTTATTATTGGAATTATAGAGCTTGTGCATGTTCATAACTCATCCCAAGTGTATGAACACCATGCACCTTATTCTCACTTTGTGCACTGGGAGGTTGAGATACTGTGATTGATCAAAAATACTGTCTTAAGCTGTTTGCATTGTGACACCATGAGCTTTTAGGAGAAAATAAGGTAGCAGGGCATGAGCATTTGGAAGTAGGTTATAGTAGTAACCAGCACTGTGGTTTTCCAAAAAGAAAATATACCATGGACAGTTTGTATATGCATAATGAATAAATGGAAAAATAAGCTTATGTCTTCAGAATTAGCACTTAAATATATTTAAGAAGCAATTCAAAAGCTCAATTTCTATATTTAATTGGATAATTTACATTTTGAGGTGGAGTCCTCATGTGATGCTGTAGGATAAGCACTTGACCATAAGGTTGGTTTGAACTGTAAGGTCAGTGGTTCAAACTCCCCAGCCACTCCTTGGAAACCCTAGATAGGGTTGCTATGAGTCGAACCAACTCTATGGCACTTAACAACAACATATTTTGAGGTAGCACATCTTCTTAATCCATGTTAAAAGTTGTACTTGCCTGCAATGAACAATTATTGGACAAGAACGGCCCCTGTAGCACTTGTTTACTTTTCTGAAATAAAGAAAGACATAAAAATTATAGTTATGTACTATTACCCACAATTATTAGTAAGCCAAAGAAAATACTCCAGATCTTTCAAAACACTTCACAATAGTTGACAAAGAAAATTCAGATTATACACACATTTTTAAAGATTTATGTTTTCTTTTCAATATTAACTTATTAAACAAAGTCTTAAAAACAATTCTACATTTTCACCAAGTTATTTCCCCCACTCTTCACAAGAATGAATTCAAGTCTTTGGCCAATGGAGCAATCATCTTACCCCCACCCAAATTCCTTTCTCTTAACTTTTCCCTCTCTTCTCTTTCTTTGTTTTTGTTTTTCTATGCTTCAGTTGATCTGACTTTTTGTTATGATATGAATGTCTACATCCATCACTGAAATTTTTGACTTCTATAATTTATGCCAAAATTCTAACAACAACAAGACATTATACTGGAATATAGTATTACCATTATTTTCTAAATATCACATCTTAAAAATCTAACTTATAGAGTATGTTTTCAATCTGTCAGTTTCTTGGTAAGGATATCTAAGTGACAGAGAAAACATGAGTAAATCAAGATAAATCTTTTTAATTTTACAAATCTCTTTCATTTTTAAGTGTGTGAAAACAACTTCATTGTGTAGACTGTGGATCAGAGATCTGAAAATTACCAATAAGCTTATTTTAAGATTTTGTAACCAATCACGAGGACTGATTTAAAATTCTTCACATAAGTTTTTTAATTCAGTCAAACAAAAATATTTACAAAGTGCATCACAATTCTCAATAAAATAATTATAAAGAAAATAAAAGACAAAATCTTGGTTCACTGGAAAGAAAAAAATGTGTGAGGGAGTGTGTTCTAAAATGTAAGTCATGAAGCAAAAATTTAAAATTAGGAATAACAATATGGGAAAATTTTCCCTAGGAGCAGAAATGGGAACGTCACCTTTCTTTGTAAAGGTTTGCCTATTCAACAACAAAAATAAAAAAATGAAATCAATTGGTTACTTGATCTACAAAACCCCAAAACCCAAGAAGAAATGGAGGTGGGAATGGATAGGAAAGGAAAAAGTTGAGTGCAGTAGATGAAGAATTGAGAAATAATTTAATATCCTGCAGCCCAAACAGTTGCTATGAGTCAGAACTGACTGGACAGCACTTAACGACAGTTCAAATGGCAGGGTTTTTTGCTTACTGTTTTTTTTCCAAATCCCTTTTCTGACTCATGAAGGACCCCCGTGTGTGTCAGAGTAGAACTGTGCTCCACAGGGTTTTCAGTGGTTGATATAAAAAAATATATCGCAAGGCCTTTTATCTGAGGTGCGTGTGGGAAGACTTGAACCTCCATCCTTCTGGGAAGCAGCCTAGCATGTCAACAGTTTGCGTCACCCAGCGTGCCCCAATCTGAAGAGCATAAAATCAGGAGCAGGGTTGTACAACAGAGAAGATACACCAACACGTATGGATTGGTTGTTTTAAAAGTCTCAGTTCCTGGTGACAATGTGATTTAGGGTTGCTTCCTGAGCTATGAAAACAAGTACTATTTTAAAGCCTGAGGAACACATCAAAATGTTTTAAAAATGGAAAAAGCGCAGAAACATTAGTTACCCAGTGCCCTGATGGTCACATTTTTATTTCTGCTAAAGCATTTTTCTTCCTCTCTTTTGGGGGGTGGGAATGGAGTGTACCCTGCATTGTTAAGGTTCTGGGGGGAAACTGGAGAAAGTAAAAGTGAACTCATTAAATCAATGATACTTGCATGCAAAAATACCTTAAAATTTCCTGGCCCTTGGTAAATAAAACAGATTAAAAAATAGATTTACTCATTGTACTCCCCAAATCTCCCATTCTTTATTCAGGTTGTAAAGGCAATGTGAATTTATGCTCTAAGGTAATCTGTGTGTGTGTAGAATCAGGCAAGCTCAACTGTCAAACCAAATCTAAGACTGCTTTACACTTTTAACCACCTTTCACCTTTGTATAGAAGAATTTACTGGGAATTTCTCACTAGCGGACTTTTTAATGTGATCAGGGAATCACTTTCTGTATTTCCAACATTCTCTTATGTTTCATCCAGGATGGTCTGATCTGTGTTTGTAGACACTAAGCTAAACTTGGGCATGTTCAAACACTGGCCAACGGCCAGGTTTTGCTAATTCCTCCACATTCCCCTCAATAGAACAAGCACAAAAAAGATCTGTTAGGAAAAGAAACATAACAACCAGATATTCTTCTTTAAAATGTACTGGTTCCAGAAAATTTAAAGACTCTGGAAAACACATATAACCTCTTTTGCTAAGAAATGTTGCTAAAAAGCTAATTACTAGCTAATGTAGCTGTAATTTTCTTCTCCACTCCTATAATTCCAGTCTTTACTTTATGGCATATTTAAAATAATATTTTTCTGAAACATGTTGTGACTGGCTGCCTCAGCAGGGTTTAGGAAGGTTTCGCTATAAGTTTAATTTCCATACCAGCCCGTGCCCCATGCTAAACTTATTTACCAACAATCACAGACAAATAAGGAGAAACGTAGTATATGTACCATGTGGTCTTATTATTATTATTTTTTTAGACTTATATTTACAAAAGAATCATGTAGTTATATGATCACAACTTGGAACATCACAAGTGAAAATGTAAAACCATTGCATGTACTCAGCAAGTTTTCATCCAGTTGAGCTAAAATTGACTTCAGATTATTTATGAAGATAAATAAAGCATAGCTGTCTTACTTTATTTCTATTAGAACAAATCACCAGTCAGCAAAAGGTCTCAAACATTCAGAAAACAAAAATGGTATTAGATATATTTCAACAGGAGGAATTAACTGAGAAAGAATGATTAGTAATACAAACCAACCCATGGATCACTGAGTGAAAAAGAAATCGTCATGCAAACCATCAGCAAGCAAAGGTCAGAGGTCGTTAGAGGCTCAGAAAAGGGGCTTCCCACATTGTCCCTGCAGCAGAGTCACAGTCTCCAATGATCACTTTTGTGACTATGCAACTGGGCTCATATTACTAGCTGCAACATCACAAAAATGACACTGGCCACCGCTAATTAGCTGGCAAAGTAAGGGTTTGTCCATTTTTACAGTGAGCAGTGTTAGTAAATGCCATTGCACACAGCAAGAACTGAGAGAAGAATAGATAGAGATAGATATATAATTTTTTTTTTAAAGCAAAGCCCTCACATATGATGCTAATTATCTCTTAGCTTAGCAGTTTCTCTTTAAAGTGTAAATGTGCTTCCTCTGGGCTCAAGAAATATTTAATTACACATCTCAGCACCTGACTAACATACTAGGCCAGAGCTAGAATGCTTGGTCTATTGTTCAAAATCAGATGAGAAATCCTGGTGCATTAAGAGGACCAGTGTCGTCAGAAGTAGCCTCACCTTTCTTGGCCGCTGAAATTTGGGTGGCTGTTTTTACAAAAGATGATCACCTAATAGCAATTTGTGTTTAAGCACAGTGCATTCTGATAACGTGATCATTCATATCTTTCATATCCATTGTCCAGTTCATATGTGAAAGGCAACCACATCAGAAATACTGCATAGGAACTAATAAAGCAAGGCAAACAAAGTTTTCAGCTTGAATTCAAAATGGTATCTGGGTGCTTGCTTTCTTGTGAATTTCACAGACATCTACTCATACCATAACTCCACAGACTCTGGAGCAAGGGAATTTTGGGAATCCATTTTTTCTTCATAATGAAGTATAAACACAGAGGGTTGGTTATGTATATGTTCGATTCCATATATGTATATGATATATACATATACCCATATGCATATATGGGTGCACTGAATGCACATGAAGACAGGGATTTAAGGATGAATGGTGATCTCTGATAGTAGTATCCATTTTGCAAGCAATGACTGCTTTTTTGAAGATTTTGATTCAGGAAATAGACCCTATACAAGATTTTAAAATATGTCTTTGGCAGTAAATTTGTATTGAGAAATATATATCAAATCAAGAACTTCGGATGGATCAGGAGGAACTTGTGGATAGTAACTGTTTTACTATGCATTCAGTATTATGGATCCACAAGGCACACTGTATCTCTTGGAGAAGTGGCAGAGTGGGACAGTGGTCACTGACTGTGTTTTATGTAGATGACACCAAATTCTTGTCTCTCCTCAAGCTCATTCACATGCCACTTGATCCAAAGAAGTATCAAAAAAAAAAAAAAGTCTTTTACTTTTCAAAGTAAACTAAAAGGCAAAAGAAATAATGTCATAACAACTTTAAGAATCTGAAACATATACTCTTAAACAATAATCCCAGAGATATAGCTAAAACCCCAATCTTTGACAATACTTGCTTTTTTAACCTCTCTCTTAATTAAACAACTCTATAATCAAGTATGAATAGCTGTTGAGTTACAAATTGCTTTATGACCATGTGTAAGGCTGGTTTAATAAATGCACGCTTGTCCTATTCTGTAATTCCTTGTTCTGAATATGTATTTGTTTTCCTTAGAAACAGTTGAACATGAGAGGTTCCATATAATTTAGAACTTGGTTATTAATACTGCTCCAAGACTTCACTTTCTTTGTAATTGCTTTTTCATTTACCACCGTCAAGCAGCCAGTGGTAACCAGCTGTTACCACCAAATCTGATGTAAAATCAAAACTTCAGTCCTAAATTTTGCTTTTTTTTTTTTCTTCTTTTTTTGCATTGTCAATACCTTCCTGTAAGACAGAGTCTAGCATTTCAACAGTTCAATAAATACATGATAAAACAAGACAATTCATTGGCTGAAAGTAACACTTGAGTAATGAACAGAAGACTGAATTAAAAAAAAAAACAAAAACAAAAAAACACAGTCAATTTCAAAATTGCACTAATATATCTATATGTCCTGTGCTAACTACACGGAGGATTTCATCTAGAATTATTCATTTTAGAGTCTGGATCTAAATTTCTTAAATCTCAACATCATATTCAAGTGGATGAGTTTAATATCTGGGCTTTATTCATTAATATCTGAAATATAAACTTTAGGAGAATTCATCAGCTGATGAACCTTATCAAAGATAATTACCATATTTCCGTAATTCTAAGATGCCCATTCCTCCCCACCCCCATTACATTTTAACACCTCTAAAGCCAGGAAACATCTCATTATTAATATGTACATTTAATATAATCCTCCTCTCATTTCCTCTCCTTCCTTCTGGAAGCAATTATAAAATAGATGGAACATCTTACAACTGAAGGCATCTTAGAAACAAGGAAATCTGGTATTAAAATGTGTGTCCTTTTATCTGATGCCCATACTATGAAGACATTAATCTATTTGGCTCTTTGTGATACCTTCGGAAATCCAGAAGTGATCTCGTGGAGGATGGAACGCCCTGGTCATACCAACTAAGGAAATGGAACTGGGTCACCGTCCGAGTCTCATTGGTTTGGAGATTCTTCAGATAAAAGCTTCTTACTAGAAAATCCTCACACCAGATGTGCTCAGAGACCAAATTTACCTGCATGGATGTAAGAGGAGAAAAAAGAAAACAGAAAAGACGTGGGCATCATGAATCTAAAGCACAGCTGAATATGAAGCTACTTTGGAGGTTGTTGTTGTTGTTGTTGTTAAGTGCTGTTGAGTCAGTTTCGACCCATAGCGACCCTGTACAGGGTTTCCGTGGAGCAGCTGTTGAGCTTTGTGGTTTGAAATGATTTTGCAGTCCAGCCCATTAACCAACAACGTCACACTAGGATTCCTAAAAAGAATCTCATGGAGATACTGTATAAGGTTTCCAAGGCTGTAAATCCTTGAAGGGAGCAGAAAGCCTCGTGTTTCTTCCACAGACTCCTCTGGTAGTTTGGAACTGCTGACCGTGAGATTAGCAGCCCAATTCATACCCATTGCACTACCAGAAAAGGATAAACACTCCAAGGAAGACATATTTATGTTGCAGATGACTTGACAACTGGCTTAATGGCTCCCTCCCCCTCTTAATTTTAACATGGTTCATATCAAAGATCACTTTGTTGTCGTTTTGATGTTACCTAGGGGTTTAATAGGCTTTCAAACAAAAACACCAATAAATCTAAGTGCTCTGCTGAATGCATAATTTAAGTTCCTCTTCCACTTATATTTCATCTAAAGTAGCATACACTGGGATTTTGAACTAAGAAAAACAAAGATGCATGTTGTTGTTATGTGCCATAGTGTTGGTTTCGACTCATAATGACCCTGTTTAGGGTTTCCTAGAGCGGCTGTTGGGTTTGAAACACCAACCTTTTAGTTAGCAGTCCAGTGCTTATCCTACAGCACCACACACAATAGGGCTCCAAGAAAAACAAAAGATGCATAGAGGTATATTACCAAATTTATTGCTACTACCAAATCACTTTTCACATTTAAGTCTATTTGCAGTGACCTAAAAGCCACAACTCTGTGATTTAGGCTTAATCTTTAAGCTTCTAACATGCTTCCTACTGTGGGTCTCAGTGTTCTGATTAATTTTAATGCAAAATAGAACTAAATGATGCATACTTGTGCTTGTTTAAATGCCCAAGTTTATTTAGTTCATTCCTAATGTGGATAGAAAATCCAGCAAGGGAAATAAGCTTGTCAGCAGGTTATCCTCAAATAAAAAGGTCAAATGCTACATACACAAGCCTCTAAACAGAGCAGTGTAAAGACCACACTGCTCAGCCAAAGAAATCAATAAGCAATTAGAATAATAGCAGGGTTCTTTTTAAAGACAGACCCTATTTAAAGGCCTGTTATATGGGGCCTGATTCAATGGACCGCCCTGGGGAAGTAAATATGGTTTTTTTTTTTTTTTTTTTTTCATACTTTCTGTCAGCATTGTATTTATAAAAATTTAAAAATGGAAAACATACAATTTACCCCAGAGTCCAATTCAGAACCACATAGCTATAGCTGTTTTTAGTGTTTGGATCTCTTTCTACAATGCAACATTGGAGAACCTACTTTAAAAAACAACAAAACAAACAACCAGTTGATGTCAAGTTGAATTCAACTCATGGTGCCCCTGTGTGTGTCAGAGTACAACTGTGCTCCGCAGGGTTTTCAGTGCTGGGGAGGGGGCGGTGTCAGTAGATCGATGGTCAGATCTTTCTTCTGAGGTGCTCCTGGGTGAACTAGTCCTCGATTACTCTAAAGACAGAAAGCACTAACCTTCCTAGCAAAACGTCTGCTATTCCAGCCTCTTTCAAAGAACTGGAGTGTCTCCACTTAGCTATTCCTTTTCCTTCTTGTGGTGGTGGTGAGTGAGCACTGCATGGAATTCTATTGAAGATGTGGCTGCTGAGGACAGAGTGACTCTATGCCTCTTACACTGGTTGAAGGCAGGTTCACCTTGGGTGGAATGGTGCTAAGTAATGCTGTGCCCAGCATGATACCAACCCATGCACTTACAGTCAACTTTCCAAGCAGATGCATTTGGTTTAAGTACCTCATAGATGTGGTAAAGGTTAGAACCTTCATCTGGCCAGTAGTGGTAGCACTGCTTGACTCCATTCTCCGTGAGGGGCGTCAGCATGACAATAACCACACAGCCGCTCTCCCAGACCATCTGCAGACAAAGAAAGGCACCATGGCCACAGTGTAACTGCCTAATTACTGCATGACATGTATAATTACTGCACTCAGAAACACAATCAAAATTTATTCCATTCACAGGAAATTTATTTCATTTTCATTAGACACTTTTACTCTGCAGCTGCCTTCAACTCTCTGAATAAACTGGACCCACGCTTTGCACGCTTCCATGAAATATTAAAAAAAGAAGAAAAAAAAAAAAAAAACCAACAACAAAAACATCCAGTGACTGCATTCCTTGTCTCTTCAAAGCTCCTCAGTTCTATGTTCAGCTGCTTGGTTTCCCAACTTTTGATCTGTAAAAGAAACTTTCTACAACACAACACAAAACAAACAAGGTGGTATCTAATGTGGCCTCTTCATCATCAGGCAGACTGAAGTGGTTGTGAAAATGCTCGCTCAGTTCCCAGCATAAAGCCACCTCAAATCTGTTGATATGCTCTGTTTTCTGGGCTGTCATTGTTTTGCATGATTAGAGAAATATTTTGCTTTGCCAAAGCTACCCTATCAGAAGCAGGTTCTGAAAGATTTTTGGTGTTAGAAGGACATTATGCATAGTGACATTTACCAGGAAGTGAAGCCAGAATCTAGACATTGTCATTCATATGAAAACAAACCCCAAACTATTGTAATAGTCCAGAAAAGGCATGTTACAAATAAGTAGAGGCAGAAGAAACAAATCGGTGTACATATCAACCCACAGGAGTGATAAGAGACAGAAGCGCTCCAACCCAAACTTCTTTTCAAACACAAGTCACAACTTTGTGGCTGCAAACCTGTGGATGAATACAACACAAGTCCTTTAAGCATTACTCTTATGGGGTTACACTGATGGGGAATTTGCACACTTTTATTAGCATATTAATTTCTACAGTGAAGAATATTCTGCTCTTTCTGCAACGAGTTACGTTAACTTCACAAAAAATTTTTTATGAGCAACTGTGTTTAGAAGTGAATTCAGTATTCAAGAGAGCTTCTATTTCTCTTAAATACAGACAGAACAATCCAATTTAGATCTTGTTATTTAAAAATCCATGTATCTCAAATATAAAATGCCTTTTCATAGTCAGTGTTATTAAATTCTACCTTTAAATTACATTTAAAAACTCAGACATGTACATAATTTTTTCCTCTTTTAATATTGATTTATATTCCCATGTGATAGAAATAGTCAATATCCTTAAAGGCACCTCATTGTGTATCAGTTATATTGGAATTTAATAGAAACCAACTGAAGTATTTACGAAAAAGCCCACAAATAAATATGAGTTATGCTCAAACCCATGCGCTTTCCATTTACTTAGTGCAAAGCCAACAATAAGATGAGAATTCAAAACATGTGTCTTACTTTCAGCTTTAAAGCCAGCTCCACTAAATCGGTACTTTCATCACATAACAATTTAATGTGCCTTTAGAAGGTATAGAAGCTCATTGAAGCCATTACGAAAATGAGGAGAAACACAGATTTTATGAGTGTAATAAAAATACAATGATCTAGACCATAAACTAATCATCTAGCACTCGGCTTGTGCCACCCAAGTGTAACATTATAAAGCCCACTCATTTACTGAGGAATCCTTACAGTTTGGCAGCTTCTTTCATTGGTTCAAACACACAACACTTCATTACTGAGAGCTTGCCTGGTTCTCTAAAGATTTGGTTAAGATTAAATCCAAATGAAACTTAATTTAAACAAACAATCCCAAAAGCACTCTTGGGAATAATATTTCTTTTTTTAGGTCACTGTGTATGAAAGCAACGAGAGGAATTTACTAAATCAAACAAATAGGCAGCCCAATTGGGTACTAATATTACAATGCTGTTTGTGGGTCTGATTAGACCATCTAATATTATTGGGAAGCAGAACATATCCACTCCACCTAGGGGAGAAAACCCTGGTGTTTTGCCATTTATTTCCCATCTTCAACTGCAAAACCTGACTAGCTTAGTTTCAGAATACATTGAAAAAAATTAATGTGTATTTTGTTGGGGATACAGCATGTTAGTGAAAACCCCAGTTAACTAAGGTTCAATTTCTGAACAATGGCAAGTTTCACTGGTACCTCTTCCTCAGTGTGGTCTTCGTTTGCAGGCAAAACACAAGGAGTCTTGGTATGGCGCTGTGGGTTAATGTGCTGGATTGCAACATCAGTTTGAACTGCAAGGCTGGCGGTTCAAGCTCAACAACTGCTCCTTGGAAACCCAATACAGGGTCTCTATGAGTCAGAACCAACTCATTGGCACTTAACAACAACAATGTGATGGGAGTCCTGGTGCAGCACTGTGGGTTAATGCACAGGACTGCAAGGTCAGCTTGAACCACAAGATCGGCGGTTCAAACTTATTTAGGTAGGAAACCCTATACAAGGTCATTATGGCTCAGAACAGACTCAGTGGAACTTAACAACAACACAATGTGATGGCTGGAACTGCGGCTGACTTGGCAGGGCCAGGGCCTACAGGGTTGAAATGGATTACTTTCCTTGACAGGTTACAGATGCAACTATCTATCACTGGATCAAAATAGTCTCCAAGGTGAATTACATAACAATAATCCATAAATATTGGCCCCTGATAGCATACTAGGTTGCTAACCACAAGGTCAGCACTTTGAATCCACCAGCCACTCCAAAGGTGAAACATGAGTCTTTCTGCTCCAGTAAAGACTTACAGCCTCGGAAACTGTACAGGGTTGCTGTGAGTTGGAATCAACTCGATGGCACATCACCACCACCACCACCACCACTGGTACTTTGCTTTGGAGAATTTGAAATTCCCTCCCTTGTGAGTTTCTTCTCAATAGAATCCATAACGGAATCCTCCTCAGAAATCAACCTTGAAGATATAGACTGTTCTAAATATTATAATACCACCTGCCTGGGAAGCTATGGCAGCCCTCAGGCATTTACTATTTTCCTGACTTCTTCACTGGTAGTTGTGTGTGGGAGGAATAGGAAGTGGTAAGGTAAGTGGTTCTTAGTCACAATAAAACACTGTGACTAAAACCTGCTGCTAACCATCAAGTTGACTCTGACGCATAATGGTCCCAAGTGTTTCAGAGCAGAACTGTGCTCCATAGGAATTTCAATAGGCTTTCTTCTGGGGCACCTCTGGGTGGACTTGAACCTTCCAAGCTTTAGATTGACAGTAGAGTGTGTTAACTGTTTGCACTACCCAAGGACTCCAATCCCTGTTAACCATCCCAGATTTATTCACTCCACAAAGTACACAGAGAGGAGCGCTCCATGAAGGCAGATACAATTAATGCAACTTAAAACTAGGCTCCTATGAGTGCAATTACGCCATCACAGAAGGACAAATATTGTATGAGACCACTGTTGTAAAAAGTTAAGAAAAGGTTTGCTTGCTAAAAGAAACAGCCTCTGATAGTTTACCAGGAGTGGGAGGAAAGGGGAAATTACTCACTGGCTAGAGGGTAGACACGTGCTAACTTGCGTAGTGGGGTGGGCAATACACACCAAGACAGAGGTTGACACAAGGAAGGTGAAAGTAGTGGAAGACAAGGAGGAGGGCAAGAGTTAAAGTGAACACCGGTAAATACTGCAAACTGATGGCACATGGAGGGGACTGTAATCATTGTAATGATACTAAGTGTGGTGGTGGTGGTGTGCCATGGAGTCGGTTCTGACACATAGTGATCCTGTATAGGGTTTCCGAGGCTGTATATCTTTACTGGGGCAGAAAGCCTCATCTTTCTCCCATGGAACAGCTGGTAGTTTTGAACTGCTGACCTTGAGGTTAGCAGCCTGACTTGTAACCACTACGCTTCCAGAACGCCTTGATACCAAGTGTTGTTTTTGTTGTTAGGTGCCATTGAGTTGGTACCGATTTATAGCAACCCTACATAAGGAGCTCTGGTAGCGTAGTGGTTACGAATCGGGCTGCGAACCTTAAGGTCAGCGGTTTGAAACTACCAGCCGCTCCGCGGGAGAAAGATGAGGCTTTCTACTCCCGTAAAGATTTACACTCTCGGAAACCCTGTACAGGGTCGCTATGGGTCGGAACCGACTCAACGGCACTTACAACAACAACAACAACATACAACAGAATGAAACCCTGTCCGGTCCTGTGCCAGCCTCACAATTGTTGCCATACTTAAGCCCATTGATGCTGCCAGTTTTCCAATCCATCTTGCTGGGGGTCTTCCTCTTTGTTAAATGTGGGATTTATGATCTGTCCTGTAAACCTGCGCTCAATTCACAACAAAAACAAAAACAAAAAAACCCCCAGGATCCAATTAATGGTTATTCAACAGTAAACAACTTGAAAAAATAAAAATAAAATAATAAAAATAGTTGACCTATGTTACTTGAAATACATAATTGGCTGATCATGTGATCCAACTGAGTAAGTTTACTGACTGTTTAGTACGAGGGGAGAGCTATATTGCTCATTGATATATCACTACCTACTCTAGCTTTCAAATCCATAATCAAAAATGTCAACTCTGTCTAGGCTTTGTAAATTAAGTTAATTAAGACATATGGAAAGAAGCAATAGGGTTATCTGCATTTGAAGTCTTTTTTTTTTAGTGCCAAGTATTTAACTAGCAAACCAAATCCTTTCAAAGCTACAATAAGAACTGATGAAAAGAAACATGATCAGCCTGATGATCAGCCTGAAGTAGTAAAAATTCCGGTAAACTTAATTGTCACTTTTTCTATAAAGCATCCTGGATCCTCCCAGGCAGAAAACGTTGCCTTCCTTTACTTAACATAGATCTCTTGTATCTTTTTTTTCAAACCTTCTATTATACCTATTTAAGGATCTCTGGTAGCATAGTGGTTAAGAATTGGGCTGCTAACCCCAAGGTCAGCAGTTTGAAACTACCAGCTTCTCCGCGGGAGAAAGATGAAGCTTTCTGCCCCTGTAAGGATTTATAGCCTTGGAAACCCTGTGCAGGGTCGCTATGAGTCAGAACTGACTCCATGGTACTTTAACAACAACATTATA